TATGCATATCGTATTTAAGGAAACAAATCTAATTTCCCAATAAAATTCTATATTTAGCTCTAGCAAATGTGCTTCCTTAAAATCAAGCTAGCACTTGCCTGCTCATACTTGATGTCAAATCACTAAAGAATGAAGTTTGACCTTTCTGCTGTCCGAGTTTAAGATATTCTAGAGCATTTTTGGCAAGTCAATAAATTATTTTGGGAATTATTATAGAGTCTGAATCCTTAAATATGGACCAAAAGGCCACAAGCTTGACATGATTAAATTTATAGAGTAGAAATTAGTCTTTTAAATCTAGGATTCAATAAATAGATTGAGTACCTTTATACATATAACTCAGTATTAAGGATCAAAACAAATATAATAGATTGGATTAGGGAAATCTAGGCTGGATTTTTTGGAAAGAATACTTATAAAAGAAAATTCTATAGGTAAATCTTCATTTTTATAAATTTTTATTAAAATTAATACTCAATTATAAATCTTCAGAGATGTGATATTGGGCTACTAATTGTAATAGCTACTTGAATAATTGATAAGCATGCAATTGAATATTGTTGAATAGCTAATTTGTATATGAACTTTCTAGTGGGAGTATTTAAGAGATAATATGAATTTGTTTATTTAATTAATTAATTTTTATTTTGATAAAAAATGATAGAAAAAGAGGAAGAATTTGTTTGTTCGATGAATCATAAACTTCCAATATATATGGTTGTTTGTGATAAAAACATAGAGATGAAAAAATGCTTTTATGCACTGAATGCATAGACAATTTAGAATCCAATCTAAATAATGTAATGAGCTTTAAAAAGTTGCTAAATTAATACAAGATAATCACAACAAGAAGATAGATTCAGTGGAATAACATAATTTGGGGAATATCAAATCGATCGATTTACTTTATAAAACATTGGATTAATTAAAATCATAGATTAATTAATAAATCGATTAACTTATTGAAAATACCAACGAATGGATTAAATATTTAAAAGAAATTGGATAAAAATACATCAAATACAGTTTTTTTGATCAATTGGATAATTTGATAAATCAAAATAAACTTAGAGAACTTGATTACAGTACTTTAAATACTGAAATTAATACAATTAATAACTCATGGAGTCAAAATATAATTACATAGTTGAATTAATTCAAATAATTTGAATTAACAAAAACATGTGAAAAATAATTAACTAATTTAAACTCTATTATTTAACAACCCTTCAATATGAATTAATTAGGAATCAATAAATTCAACAGAATGAATGCAATTGCTATAAATAATAATAATTCAATTGTATTAGCTGGATGTGATAATACTATCAAAGTATTCGAATTTAAACAAGAATTCTTGAAACTAATTCAACTTCTAACTGAACATTAATAAAATGTTTATACATTAAATTTTATGAAGAAATCGACTCAATTTATATCTAGGAGTAGAGATAATTAGATTATTATATAGTGTATGGTTTAAGAGAATTAATGGATCTGCTAATAAAAATTGAATGAACATTAAAGTTAGATTAATTGTTTATTATTGAATAATGATGAAGAACTTATTTCATCAGGAAGCGATGATAAAAAAATTAAATTTTGGACAAAAAAGAATGAATTGGCATGTTCATTTACTAATACGGATTCTAAAAATCAAGTTTAAGGATTAAGTTTGAATGAAAAATAAAATAGAGTGTATCTTGTGAATATGAAATGCTTTTTATATTAATAATAGAGTAATAATAAAATTAAAAATGGAATTTGATTTAAAAGATAACATAGTTATCGAATATGTTTCATTAATGATAATGTATTCATATTTCAACCAAGAATTAATGAAATGTATTTTTATGAGACGAATAGTAATAATAATTAGTATTTAAAGACAAAGCAAATTGCTATGAAATGTGATTCTTTGTTTCCAAAAAATATATCAAGTTGAAATGGCTGCTTGCGAATAAAAATGGAAAAATTTGATAAGAAACAACCAAAATGGGGAATTTATAATTTATTAATCTATTTAATTTTGAATTAATGAGATATATGGATCAGTGGGTGATAATGGAGAGTATTTGATGATTTGGGATAGGGAATCTAATTAAATCTAAATTAGAAAATATCAGTAATTATGAAAATGAACGAATGAATGAATTAGTATCAAAATTATTTATTTAATTTATTTTTAAAAGAATTAATAAATAGAAAATGTTAAATCAAACTGTTAAAACCAATATTTGATATTATAAATAAAGAAAAAAAACAAAAAACTCGAATAGTCACAACTTTATTGGATTATTATAAATTTATAACATTTTTGGTGGGACTGTTAAATTCTCTGGTTAATTCCAAAAATTAATTAATTCTAAAACTGGAATCTTGAGTATTAATGCTATTTTATTTAATTTAATTTATTTCATAGATTTAATATTTTCAGGTTTATAAGTTATCTTTAAAGAAATACGTTTATCTTTACTTATCTATGAAGAAAAAGATTGATTGAATTTATTTTATTGCAAAAACTATTAGAATTAAGTAATAATTATACGAAATCACTGTTTGACAAGAAAATTATTAAAAAATGTTCAATTTAATAATTTCTAAAATGATTTCATCAAATTTTTATTGAAGCAATTTAACACATTAAAACAACTGATATTATACCATTTCCCTATTTTATTAGCTAGTTATCCTTTATTACATGTTCTTTTATATCCCTTATAAAATCGGCTATTTCATTCCCCATCGTATCCCCTTTTTCATCTAATATTTCATCCTCGGATATAGGTTAGTTATAAGCCAGTCTTGATCAAACCTTAATGTTTAAATATCAAAAAAATTATCGTAAGTTGAGTTATTTATAAATGGGAAGGTTAACTAACTTCAATTAATGGATCATTCAATTATATTCCATTCCTTTTACTTCTAAATCCTCAAAACCCCTATTCAAAATATTCATACTATGTTACTACATTAATCAAACAGCACTTAGCAAAACATAGCTTTGAAATTTTCCAATATTCTGTAATAATTTTTTTTGACACTGTAATAAATGAATTCATACTTGTTCAAAGATTTTCAATTAACTATGCCAAAATATACTTCTAAATCTACTTAATAAAAATAAGAATGAATTTAAACCTCAAACTGAGAAAGATTATAATTTTTTCTCAATATTATTCGTATTTCGTGGTTTTATTTTTTAATCGTTAATGTGCCCTATTATTACCATTTAAGTGATTTCCAAGATGTAATCAATTAGTTTATGAAGATGGCACATTTGCTTCTTAAAATATAAAAGATCATAAACAATTATTCTGAGGTGATACGTGAAGAAATTTCACGTAAATTAATTATACTTAACTCTATGCTATAGATCATAAATAAATATATGTTATAAAATTTGAATATGTAGAATTGAAGAAAATAAAAAGGTTCTTTACCTGATTATAAATTGATTGATAAATTTTGTAAACTTTCTTTAATATTCAGGTAATTAATTGACCTAATTAGAAATTCGATTCAATATTTTAGTAATGGCCCATCATCTATTTGTATATGTGCAAAATATGCAAAGCCAGGAAGGCATTTACTAGGGTGAGAGCTAAAATTTCATTGCTAAAAAAGAATAAGTAAATACTTTTAAAAATAAAATATTTATAGCACTGATATTGGAATCCTCTACTCCAAATTAATATTTATTCAACCTCATCATTCATATAAGTTGTAATAGAAATAAGAAAGTAAATAGCACCCTTGTTGTTGCAACAATGCATTACCTAACAATCTAAACCTAGTATATAAAGTCTTTGTTCTACTAATTATGGATTCTTTTGCGCAAATCTAATCTACAATTTTAAATATCTAAAGCTAGGTGATTTATAGAAATGCAAATTTTGAAAGGAGAAGTGATTTTAATTTTTTATTGTTTTTAAGATTTACAATGAAACAATTTTCTTTATCTATAAAAGATAACTGAAATGGTTTTAAAATTCTTAAAATCTTCTATTTCTATGAACTATCGTATTTGAAGTTATTTTAATGTTGTTTTGCATATTTTTAAATTAAATCTTTAATACCAAATGTTTAATTATAGGAAAATTTTAATATGTAGAGAAAAAAATAACGAGTATATAAATTTAAGAAAAAGTGAATGATTAAAAATGGTAATTTAATAGAAATAGAAAAAGATTTAATAATTATATTAATATGAATTAAAGCTGCGATATTAATACTAAATGCCCAAATCCGTAGCATTCTAAGGATGTCAAATTAGTATGTTTTGATGAATCTTGTTAAGGATAAAGATTATATTGTCATGAATGTATAAAACTTGGAATTCATGCTTCTCATCCACAATATTAAGAAGAATTATCATTTATTTTTCATCATATTGAAAGAGTTAAAAAAGAATGTGATAATTTAATTAATAATATGAACAAATAAATGGATGCGATTTAGCAGGATTTCTAGTTATTAATTGAAGGTATTAGATCAAAATATCAAATATCAAAATAATTATTACTCGGTTTAGATTCTGAATAAATTAATTCATTGTTATCATAAACCATTTATTTCAAATAATTTGAATAAACATTCTAAAATAAGCTTTAAAAATTCACAAATGAATTCTTAAATTAAATATCTAAGTTAATGTGTGATTTACATTTAAATGAATCTATTGATTATCAAGTATCTAAAATACATCTTAATAAATCAGAAGAATTATATTAACAAGGTATTAAATCAAGTAATTAGGATATAAACTATATTTGGAAGATAAAAAATTTGATGAGGCATTTAAAATATTTGATTAAGCATTAATTTTAAATCCTAAACATTAATTATCATTATGGTGCAAAGGTACATTATATATGAATGTATTAGCGGATAGTTTAAGGTTCCTTGGTTAATTTAATGAAGCAATCATTTAAATAGATAAAGCATTGTAAGTAGATCCAAAACATTGTCCTTGATTATTTACTAAAGGTATGATGATATTTAAATGTATTAGCTGATTGCTTAAAATCGCTTGGTAAGTATAATGAAGCAATCATATAAACAGATAAAGCATTACAAGTAGATTCAAAGCATTTTCCTTCATTATATACTAAAGGTACCTATTATTTTTTCAGAAGAAGCTGACTCATTAAAATTATTGGAAAAATTTACAGAAGCTTTGGAAGTGATTGAGCAATGCCTAAAACTAAATCCTAATCATTTTGATTCATTAGGAGGAAAAGGTCAATTCTATTTTTATATTGATAGGGTATTGTTTACAAAATCAGAATCAATATGAAAAGGCCATACTATGTTATAACAAAGCGTTAGAGATTAATTCTAATGATTAATGGACTAAAAATAGAAAAAGTATTGTTATTCCTAATAATCAGAAGAATGTTAACAATACCTCGATCAAAAAAAATGAATAACATAAGATACACACAATAATTACTAATATCATTATTCAAATGCTTCTTTTCTTTTAATTAATATTGATCAGTTGCAATCTAATAATTTGGTGTAATAAAAAATTATTTTTCAAATGCATTTTATAAATCATAAATATTTGGCTATTATTTTTCTGTTTAAGTAAGCAACTGCCAGTGATATATTAAACTGTGCAGATTGTTAATAGCTGTAATATGATCTTAGTTTTCTCTAAATATTTTTTGTTTAAATTATGTCGGTATATCAATTCAATTGAAAACTGGATAAAGTCTATTTTAAATACTAATAGTGAATCTCTTAAATGATTTTTTTCTTATTGTTCTCTGACACAGTAATTTTAGCAAAATGATAAACTTGAACTCTTAAAACTATTTTTCATTTTTCAATTACCAGGCTCACACAAAGCAAATTAAAAGACCCTTTACATTATGTAATATTGTTTGTCTTAAATATTGACTTTTCTTGCTAAATCGATTCAAATTTTCAAAAGTAAACTAGAAACTGATGAAATTTTTCAAATTTAATTAACACTAAAATTTTTTTCTATTATCTTATTTTTGTTGTCTCTAATTTTATAATAAATCATATAATCATGATCAATTAAGCAATCAGCTAATACATTTAAATATCATAATACCTTTAGTAAATAATCAAGGACAATGTTTTGGATCTACTTACAATGCTTTATTTATTTTGATGCAAATAAATTTTAAAGATATAATTGTTCAATTTCTTAATAAAAATTGTTTTATCATCATAGATGGTAAATATTGACTCTTTTATGTCCTCCCCCCTTAAATTTTTCAACTAATTGATTTAAGCATGTATTAGATTGTCCAATGAGATTCATATAATTCAGCCTTCAGTTTTTATTTTTATTATTTTTTTAAGTAAAATTAAATCTAAAGTATAACCTGATTAAACTTATATAATTGGTAACCATAATATAAAACAGACTTTAGTGATTGTCTTAAGTATTTTAAATGTTAACGGCTCCTGGTTCACTATAATTCATTCTAGGGAAGGCTGTGGGGTTAAAATCAACCTTCCAAAAAAAAAAAGTAAATGGCTCATTTAATTGGTATCAGATCTAGAATAAAGTAAGGTTAATAAACCAAAGTATCATACTTTATGAGAACATTCATTCTGCTGTTTATAATGTTTTATCAGCATTCCTACGCCTCTACATCGACCAATAGACCTCTATATTAATATGAACGATAACCTTTTTTCATCTCTGATTGAGTGCTTTTTGATTCCTAAAAACAAATTTTACATTAGATATTTTAAATAAGTTTTGACACCGATTTTGCAATTAACTGATCTAGCTAATTCTCTTAAATATTGCTTCTTAAGAGAATTTTGTTTAAAACAAGTACTTCTTAAAAAAAATTAGGCTTAACTCATAAAATATTCTTCTTTCATGTGAGCATCAAGCTAATCACCAATAATAACCCTTTTATTAATTCTTATCCATAACATTTTAAAGTCTCATTTGCAAATTAACAAAAAATTTCATTTCTTAAAGTTAAGTGCATATTCTTGTAGTTTCTAGTCATCAAAGTAAGCAATAGTTATGTTGATATTATATAGAAATGAAATGTGAAATTAATTATAATATTTTTGGTAGTTGAAGATTAACTGTTTCAAATTATTGTTAAATATTCACAGACTTCGATTTTGCAAGGATTGATTCAAGTTGGAGTATAGATTTTAAGAGTGAACGGAAGATTAAATCATTAAAAAAATTTGAAGAAGGGTAAGATAATGAAAGATTTTTGGAATAAGCTTAAAAGAGAGTCGGATGATAAATATTGAGAAATAAGAAGTGAACCTGGATGATTGTGAATCTGGAATAGAACCAATCTTACCAGAAGGCTTCAATGAACTGCTGCAGAATATAATCTAAAACGGTTGCTCTGCGCTCATATGTTCTTGGTCAAGCAACTAAAATTCATGCTAAATTCACAAATTCAGTATATCTGAAGATAAATAAAATACAAATTATATTCAAAACTACAACTCTGACTCAAGAGTACTGATAAGAGCAGAACTATTTTTGCTTTCAGTTTTCCTGCTTCATTTAAGAAGTGTTACTCTTTTTTTAAGTGTGCACCTGAAGTACTTCTATTTATACGTGATGTGATGGATGTGCAGGAAATGATCCATCTAAACTTAATTTATAACCACAGCTTCAGATAATGCATCGTTGTTCAAACGATTGTATAATTTATTACTGTTTTTCTTATATTTCAGGATATTATGTCCATATCCTTGCTGAATTGCACAGCTAAAACCCTTACTACGTTTACATAATGTGCAAGTATTAAAAAAGTCCTTTTTTGAATGGCACAGATTGAAATACTATGCTTGTAAATATGGTTTTAAATTTACAATTTTTTTACTTAAGAACCAGATGATACTTCCTTTACATATTGATCCGTCATCAGCTTATTTGGAGCTTATTGAGACTTTCCACGTTACACTTTCGAATAGTGCATCCAGTGTAGACTAAGCATTAATTAATAATTCATGTTTAGTAATCTCCACTACTAAATCTGATGCAAAACTATTTACACTTAATTTCAAAGAAGTTGCAAAGCTTCTAAATCTACTTCATGCGTTTATAGATTATATATTGTTGCTGAATAGTACTGCTAATAATTCTTATCTCCTTGATCTACGTTTCATAATTTCAGAGTTAGTATATTTTTATTTTTTGGAATGCAAAATTTGACCATAAAATGCATAGAGTTGCTAATACTGGAGAAACTCTAAGGATGGTAACTATCTTACTAAAAATAACAATACAATGTCCAGAACAATATAGATATTATACATGTGAGGTTGTCAAAGAATATGGCAGCATATATGTAGTTTTGGTGTTTCTTGTGATAGGCATGCACATTGGGTCTGACTTTATGTGTGTTTTTGCAACAATTCAACTACAGAGTCTCTATCGCATACCCTTTATGTGTTGATCCCTTGTAGATGTTAAAACTTCATATCCTGTTTTCAAAAGTAGAAATCTACTAATTAATTTCATTCTTTTAAGATTCGTCCTATTCTCAGATTTTATTGTTTCTGACCTGAATATCAAATATTCTAATTCTATAAATATTCAAATAGGCTATATTACATACAAAAATAGATTTTGAATTTAGATATTATTAGGGAGATAAAAAATGGCAATCTGATTCTATATTTGATTGTTCTTTTAAAATGCTCTTATCAAATATTATTTACTACTTTTCTTCATCCAGAGATAAACATTTGAATTTTAACAAATTATAATATAATGTTTGACTAATAGTTATAAGTTTTAACATAATAATTAAGCTAAGTTTCAATTTTCAAAATTATTTTAGGGTAAGTTAATTATGGGTATATAAGATAGAAAAACATTTTGTTAATGAACATTCAAAGAATATCAAAGAAAGAGAAGGCTAAATAACAAGAGAATCAAAATAAGTATTGAATTTTCTGAATAAAGACTATTTAACTGTATAATAAAAAATATACTTCATTTTGATTTTTATGCAGATTGGAAGTATTCCAATAATTTTTTTTAATAATCAACAAAGGGGTTTTCCAGCGTTTTTATTCATTTATCATTTTCAATAAATATATTAATCATAAATATCTATATTTTGTATTAATAACAAAATACTTAAATTATTATCTTTATTTCTCATATTTATATTAAATTTTATTAACGAAGATTGAGAAAAAACATCAATTGTTAATTACTATTTGAATAATTAATAATATTTCACCAAAATTCAATTTAAAATCTTGTGCTTTCTATAAGAAAAATGACCTTAATCATAATTCAAATACCATTAATTCATAATACTTGCGTTATTGAATTCATTTTAAAATCAAAATAAATTACAATGTACCTGCTGCTTTATTACATTAAGATATATTTTAATTCAACTTCAATTATTGAAGTCTAATTCAAACAAATAACTGAGTTATAAAGTAAAGAAAAATTTCGATCCTCTATCTGAAAAAGAAACTGAATAAAAATCCTTAAACTGTTATGTAATTAAAATAAAATCCCTATTATGAAGCATATCAAAAGTATTTGTGATTAAATAGGAAATAAATCAAAGTAACTCATTAAATTGAAATAGGATACATGTCAAATCTAATTTTCTATCTGCATAATGAAAAATTGAATCATTTTAGCCTAATGTTCTATAGAAACCTTAGTTCCTTTTGCTCTAATCCTATACTAGCAATTTACTAACACTGTTAATGGCAATTAATCCAATTTTCGAAATTTTAAATTCTTAACTGAGACAATAGCCAAGAGCTAAGAAATATAAATGAGTTTTATAATTTGATAATGGATTAAGTTTTTTGATGAACTAAGCAAACAGTTAATAAATGTGATATTTCAGAAAGAGTGTAAAACATTTATTTAAAACATCAAATTAACAATAACAATAAGGGTGATATTTAATTGTAGATAATGTAGAGCTAATTTGAGATTACTTAACAGATGGCAGGAGCACTTGAGGACCACTATATCAATTACAGTAGAATGAAACAAGGTCTATATGCATTTAAATTATGTAGACAATATTCTATCATATAAAGGATACATTAAATATTTTTTGGTGAGCCAGCGACTTGAATTTAGTTAGCTTTAGATGTTACACTAACTTCAAATTTATATCGGCAAATCAATAATATTGTAAATTGGTAATAAAGATCCATCAACACAAATTTTACAGAACGAAGAAAGCACAACGAAAATTGGAACCATTGAAACAAGTATCACTACTTTAGCAAATAGTGTTTATTTATAAACATTTTTAATTATAACCTATTTTCTATGGAGAGGTGATCTAACAAAATTAAAAACTGAGCTTTACATCTGATTGTGCATAATATGCAAGCTTTGCACAAGTTAAGCTACACCATGGGGATTATATTCTGAAATAAATAAGAATCTGTATAACTGCATTTAATTAATAATTCCTATGATGAAGCTAAATTGAAATAGAAACATCCTTAGCAAAAAAAAAATTAGCCTGAAGGTGTTGTTGTAAATTTTATATAGAATGGATGAAAAATTGATACTCACTCATCAACACGAATGTAACAAGAATGCCGATAGCTGAGAAAGCTCACGTGCTTTTGAATTTAGTATTCAAGCCATCAATCTCAAAAACACATGAATCAGCTACGAATTTACTTTGTTTATGTTTGGTTAAGTTGAGTTATACAACTAAGATTAGACTATCAGTAATCTAGGCTGTACAATGGTCAGACTTTTTAGCAAATTTTTAAG